GAACAGCTTGGGGGTATTGTATTGGCTTAGCTATGTCACTGGAGTTCACATCGAGCATTTGCACACCTGCAATGGAAACGTCCTCAATACAAATATTGTAGTTGTCATTTAACCCAGTCTCCCCATCTCCACGATCCATCATCTTAAATTTGAGCCTATCAAGAATCTCACGATCATCATACTGCGCATAGGAAGAAAGAACTGTAGTCTCCAACAATACTGCTAGCTGAAAGGGGCTGATAGTATTTGCTGGCTCTAACAATTCAGAACCGAAGATATCCACTAAGTACTTCACAAAATCTTCCTTCCCTAGATGAAGATAACTCATGATTGCAAGGCCATGATCCTTGAATCTATACCTTTTATGAATCACATCCATCAGATGAAGATCAATTTGATTGGCAGCTTTAACCGCTAATGCCATGGGAGCTTCCGCCCAACCACTGTCCAAGACTTCTTGAACCAGAGGCTGGAGGGGCACGGTAGAAGCAGCATCCCCACACGGGATGGTTGGGCTCGAGATACACACCTAGACGGAAACGACATGAACGTCTGAAGAAGTTTCGGCCTTAGGAACGAACAAGTCGGAGTGCTGGACATCTGAATTGGAGTCTTCTTCAGCAAAACTGTTGTCTGATTCTTGCATAGTGTCGGATTGGTCGCACTCCTTGGGATCGACGGTGGAGTTGAAATCGACGTCGAGCTGTGGTTCTGCTCGGTCCGTGGGTACGAGAGCAACATTGAGCTGGAGTGAGGAAAAGCAGCCGGTAGATCTGAAGGCGGAATTATGGTTGGCGGAGATAGAGTGGTATTGCTTTGCAGCATCTATAGGTGAGAGGCTTTGGAGTTGGGTCAGGCTTGATTCAGTCGCGGTTGTCTGTGGAGGCGGAGGAGCTCGATTCGAGTGTTGGAATCGAGGGGGATCACGGATCTGGCATTGAAGCGGAGGGGGGTCACGCCATCGGAGAGGAAGCTCGAGCGGCGGATCGCGCCATCGGAGAGGAAGTTCGAGCGGAGGGTAATCGTCAACCACAATCGGTTGATTTCGGAACCCTTTGCGGGAAGCGGAGGAGAAGAGGGAAGGCGAAGACGAATACCTTGGTATGGTTGCCGACAACATTCGCATTCTCCTTATTGCCCGAAGGTTTTCGTCTATTCGATCATGATAGAATGCTATGATGCTTCGTTCATCGTCGATAGCTCTCCTTCGTTGGTGTCAATCGTCGTCGACCACCGTTCTAATTCTTCGACTTCGATCGCCGTCGACAGCCGACCTTCTTCTGCAGTTCATCGATCTTCGCAAGCTCCAGGCTCTGATACCAATTGATGTAGTGGATCGTCGGAAGAATTGACCTGCAAGAAGGATTTAATCCCAATCCAGGGAAACCAAAACAAACACAAGCTTTCTAAGCTTCAAAGAGAATGATATATCATTCAATGCTTTTCTCCTCTTACACATTCCCTATATATAATGCCAAAGTAAGGAAAACCTAGAGAATCTTAGAAGATTCTAGAAAACTTATAACAAACTAGATAGGATATCATAAGGATTACTTTAAGCTTTGATACATACTCCAAAAATTATCTTGATCGGGCACGAATCTCGAGGCAAAAGCTAGTTGGAAACTTCAAAAATTAATTTTGGGAGCCCCCGAACTCCGATTTCAGCAAGCTTATAGTTGAATTGAGCGTCTCGAAAATACGAACCCAACGACACCAAGATCAACCCAATCCGAGCCCAAATGAGTCCGAATCAAGGGCTCAAAGCGCTGTTGGAAGGTTCAAACCGCTATTTGAGTTACCAAACAGTCTCCGATTTTGACGAGCTTATACTCGAATCGAACGGCTCGACGAGACGAATCCAACGAGCCCAAGATCGCCGAATTCCGACATCATTAAGGCCTTCAAATGCCCAACGAACGGTGCATGATCAAAGGATTTGATATCGACCGTCCATTCAAAACACTTCCAATTCGCCCCTGATCTCACGCCTATTTATGGGCTATGCCACTCCAGAAAAACTATAAATAGAGCCCTCATTCTACACCAAAGGGACTCAAGTTAAGAGAAAGAAGAAGAAGAGAAGAAGAAGAGAAGAAGAAGGAAAAGGGGAAAAGGCGATTCCTCTCCTCCTCGACCACCGCCGGAGATCTTCCCGCCGCCTGAATACGCCGGAACTCTGCCAGATTTTCGGGAAACGACGGGATTCTGCAAACTTTGTCAATTTGCTTCAAGTTGTAATCTGATTGTCCCAATTTGCGGGGCGAATCAGTTTCTTGTAATTTACAAAAACGCAAGTGGAATTTTACAACTGGGCAAGGCCCCGTGGTTATTCCTTTTTTGGGTTTTCCACGTACAAATCCTGGTGTTCTTTTATCTTCCTGTTTGTGTGTTAAATATACGTGTAACGCTAGGACGCGAATTTACAAACTCTACCGCCGCGTATTTTCTAGCATGCAACAAGCTTAAAATGCTCCGCATCATTTTATCCTTAATTTTGATGTAACTTTGAAAGATTGAAGTCCTACGCTAGTCATTAGTGGCAACATGCAAGTAGGAAAGAATTTAATATGCTAACAGGCAAGTAAATTTTAATATGTGCAGGATGCCGTTTAGATGCAGACAAAATTTCCTAGTAGGCACCTAAATGCAATCATGCTCTGATATCAAAATGACGTAGAACTAAATATATGAGTAATTATATAATGCTGAAAATACACGTCATTTAATTAGAGCAATAATAATTACGTTTATTTTTAGCGATTTAAACAAATATTAAAACAACAAAGAGGCAATCTAGCTTAGGCCAAATTACAAGTTAAAAGGTAGATCATGAATAATCAGTTCAAATTACAATTAGCATAGCATGGAGGAGTTCAAAGAAAATCCCTATGTTATAATGTTAACATATAGATTAGGCACTAATTGGATTCACTCACTCAAACTCTTGATGTAGGCTAAACGAAGATAGGTTGCACAACTTTTATGATGTCACAAATTAAAGGGAAGACTTAGAAAAGCAAAGACTTGAAGGAGAATTTCAACTTTATCAGAATTTGGAAATGATTTGCCACTGAGCAGTAGAGAGTTGTTTGTCGATAACGCCGGCGAGAGAGAATATAATCCTTTCAACGTAATCTTCAACGGTACAGTCGACCTCCAAATGATGTCGAAGAACGGAGACTTGAGGATGTCCAATTGCCCTTGATCATTGTAAACAAACCCGTGGTCATGTTCTGGATCAGTCATATATGAGTGGACAGCTACTAGGAGGGGATGGTAACTCTTGGGCAGTAAGAAGTGGCTTTCCGGAGAGCAGGACAACCAATTACCCTTGTTGAAATCTTCTGGGCAGCAGCCTAGCAATGTCCAGAAAAATCTGGACAACAACTATGGGATGCCCGAAGTTCTTGGACAGTAAGGAGTGGTCTTTAGGAGGGCAGGACAACAAGATGATCTTGCTGAAATTTTTGGACAGCCAACATAAATTTCATAGAAAAGAGGGAAAATAATAGAAAAAGAGGTAAGGGGAAGGAGGTTAGGGTTGATAGGGAGTTAAGGGGTTGATTTGAGGATTTAATGGGATGTAATAATTAAATATGAGAAAGAGGGAGGGGCGGCAGCTATAGATAGAGCTTGATTGGTGATTTATGTATGGGAATTATTAATTGCTAGGTTTAGAAGGTCAAATTAGGAAAGGAGGTTAAAGCCAATTCTATTTGAATTTTAAATTGGCTAGAAGGAGAAAGGTTTAGGGTTGGACACCGGTTAAGGAGGAAAGGATGATTTAGGGGAGGTGGCTAGGAGAGAAAGTGGGGCTGGTTTGGCCGGCAGCTAGGGAGGATGAAAAGGCCTTAGGGCCGGCGACTAGGAGAGGGAGTTGGGTTTTGACCGGTGGTTATAGAGGGGGCTTTTAGGGATTTGTAACCGGCGGCTATGGTAGAGGAGTTCAAACCGGCGGCTAGTGTTAGGATTTGGATGTGGGGTTGGCCGAGATGGAGAGGGGAAGAGATGGGTGCCGACGGTTGGGAAAGGGGAAGGGGAGGAAGCGGAGGAGAAGGTAGACCACGAACCCAAACGCTTCCTGCGCTTGGTGGGTATTACGTTGCACTCACTTAGGGTTCTCACCAAAGCTCTCTCTCAAAGCTCATAAGAGACAATTTACTGAAAATTTTCATAATAATCTTCATTTACCATCACAAGAATAAGAGGAGGCTATAAATAGTCCAAAGTGCAATAATAAAACAAAAGACAAAAATGTCCCCTGGGGTCACAAGCACCTACGCCATCAAGTGAGGGTAAAATCGGAAAATAAACAACAATAAATCAAATACAACTAATAACTCAAAAATAAAGTGGTGCGATCGTGGCCGTAGATTGACGGCCCCGTCTCTGCTAAACTCTTCATGGTCGGATGTCCTCGTCATAAAAATCGTGCTTTAAGCCTAGGTGCTAAACACATATTGATGCCTGGATAGTTGAAACACTGAAAGTAATGCAAGTAATGCTAATGTTTCCGCCCAAGCATCATTTCTTGCAAAACTAGACGTGGATACATAAGTTTATGGCATAAGCAATAGTACCTAGGTTGCAACGTTAGCTTAAAAAAAAAAATCAAAGCTTTAAAATCTGGGTTCGGGATATATGGCCATCACCACTAGAGCTTGCTGAGACAGGTAACAAGATCAATGATAGAAGAAACAAAGCACTAAAGAAGTAGAGGAAAGGATGAGGCGTTGATAGAAAGACCAAGAATAGAAAGGCCAGAGGAAAATAAACTAGAAGTAGATTAAGAAATAATTTCTGCAAGAGGACCTTTACCCCTATTTCAAAAATAACAGTACGCTGATAACTTCCCAACCAAACTTCAGAAAGGCTATTCTTTTTCATCAAGACATCAAACTATGGCGGTTTCTGTTCAATTACTCAATTATTTTGAATGAAATTTTCCTAAGAGAATGCATTGATAACATAAAATAGCGTTGAATTTGAGCTATTACCCAAAAGTCCCCATGACTCGAGTGGAAATATGATTACTATCACATGCTTCCCTTGCCAACCCAAAATCGGAAACCCTTGGTGTGAAATCTTCTTCTAGTAATACATTGCTGGCCTTGAAATCACGGTGAATAATACAAGGGTCAGAGTCCTCATGCAGGTATGCAAGAGCTCTGGCTGCACCCAGGGCAATCTTCATCCTTGCTTCCCAGTTTAAAGGTCGCAGGCTCCTATCAGCACCTGAAAAACAAGCATAGAACTAAAAGTCAACAAATTTTTGTAACTAATATCACCAACCCCAGGAGTTTCACAGGCAAGTCTGTGATGCTTGCTGATTTTCTATGCTAAATGAGAAGATTGAGAGGATAATATTTTAATGATTTAAAATAATTGGATAAACAGGGATAATTCAACAAAACTTCAAAAAGAAATAACAACATCAAGCCTTTATCCCACTGGGTTCGGCAAAACTTCAAAAAGAAAGAATAAGAAAAATAAATATGGCAAATGAAAAGCTTTGTCAGCGTTCTAACAAAATGATAATCTATAAATAGAACTCCCAATCTCCCACTTAAGAGAATCATCATTATTAGCTTTATCTCAACAATTTCGTTTTGTTCATTCTAGTTGGGTATTCCATTTGTAATGAAATGGATATGTAAAAAGACATTTATGCCCAGCCTCAACCATCTTTGAGTCCCGATTTCACATTAACTTTTTCTATGGTTTGCTATTTAAGAGATAGTTGTTTAGGGTTCTTGCATACACCCCTTGCACTTGCTCACGTCAGAAATGGCTGGAAACAAATCCTCGCTCATCATGTTCCTTCAAAGAACAAGAGTACCAAGCCTTCTCTTCATCGACTCTAGCTAGAGCAAACTACACTTGTCCTTTCCCTTTCGCACCTTAGCTGTGATCTTCAATGTCAGTTTCAAGGGTTAAAATGCCACCCCTTAGAATTATATTATCTTTTTTTTTTCTTCATTATGCTTTTATACTTCTTCGTTCCTCAACAATTTATTTTCTCAAATTTCCAATAGTTCTCTCCAAATTTCCTTAATCTTACGCTTTAGGAATGATCTCAAACTCATGCTATTGTTATGATAATGGTAATGGAAGCCACATAACTTCATACTTAACAATATGGATTAATTTAGGTTATTTGGAGAGTTGAGATTAAAAACTATTAGCACTTGGCTAATCCAAATTCTATGTATTTGATTTTACTAGTTGATGGTTATAGTTCAACTCATGTTTATAAATATATGTGCGAGTAGAATTTTTATTTTAAAATTTTTGGTCGACATTTGCCTAGGGTTATATTTCTAGAGCTAATGGATTGTTAAATTTGAGTGATGCCTTTTGAGATTGGTAATTTTTATTTATTGAAGTACAAATATACCAATCTTTATTAGGGCATTATCGTTGATACTAAAAGTATATTTACTTTTTAGCTTTACCTTATTCATTTGTAAAGTTTTATGATAACGACGTCATGTCATTTAATGCATGATTAGTGTTGCTTTGATAGTTGTTACATAAGTTTATTTATCTTGAATAGAGCATGTGATAATGTAACTCAATTTACCTTGGTTAATATTCTTCTTGTTGATAAGACTAAAGAGGGAGTTGAAGGTAAACTTTAATTATGGAGGTCAACATTAGAGTCTAAAGATTTTTATTTGAGTAAATTTAAAATCGAAAACATTGAGTGTAATTTTAATAGTAATATATCTAAAGGGGGGATTGTGACTTTGGGCAATCAAGTCATTAATAAGAGTATATGTTTTAGATATCTCATGTCTATTATCCAGAGTAATGGTGAAATAGATGAGGATATTATTAGTATAATTCAAGTTGAATCGTTGAAGTGAAGGACTGCTTCGGGCCTATTGTGTGATAGAAAAGTATCCCTCAAACTTAAGGTAAATTTTTATAAGATGGTGATGAACCTACAATGCTTATGGCATAGAATGTTGTCCATTAAAAGAGAAGCATACAATTAAGTTAAGTGTTGCAGAGATGAGGATGCTTATGTGGATGAGTCACTTTACTCTTAGAGATAGAATGCAAAATGAGCATATACGTGAAAAGGTTGGAGTAGCTCCAGTGGCAGATAAGATTAGAGAGATTCGCCTTAAATGATTTGGTCACATAAAATGTCGGCCTTCTGATGAATCGGTTATCATAGTAGATGTATTAGATTTGACCTATGTTAAGAGAGATAGAGGTATACCTAAAAAAACTTGGTTAGAAAATATTAGAAATGACCTTTTTTAATTAGATTTTAAAAAGTATTCAACTCTTAACAAGACACAATGAAGAAAGGATTCATGCAGACGACCCGTAGAGTAAGATAAAGTCTTGATATTGTTGTTGCTGATATGACACAAAATTTGCTAATGTTAATATTAAAACCTATATATAAAAAAAGACTTTGTTATATTACTTATAAAATAATTGTCATAGCAATTGGTCATGGCATGATATATAATTAACTATGTCTGAGTGAGTAGATGTAAATGTCAATAGTACATCGAGTGATGACCTTCATAAGGGTCATCAAACCCCATTAGATGGATGAAACCTTCACATTAGATGGATGAAACCTTCACCTTATTAACAACAATAAAATAGGCAAACTATGTATAATAAATTTATAAAGGATTGAAAAATCATAAATATATGATGCGGTTGCAAGTCTATGTGTAAGCATGTAAACGCACTAATTATTATTTTTCATATGAAGATTATAAACATAACATTGACGTTATTAGGTTCCAAGCTTTGGATGAGAAAAATGGGTTGTGTAAAATAGTTAACAACCAACGTAAAACATGTCGAATAATCATGATATGAATCATTTAATACACTGTGTTAATGCTACGACGTGCCTGAAAATGATTTTTTGCATAGGCTAAATATAGTGAAAAGTGTGCAAGAGTCGCTGCACCGGCACCCGAGTGAATTGTTAAATAAGTAAGGGTTCTCACATCATGGATAATGTGGGCAAAAAAGCTAGTCAATAAAACTAGAATCAAGATAAAAGCTTGGAATATTGATTCTCTTACAGGTAAATTAATGAAATTAACAAATATTATAAGTAATAGAAAAATAAATATTCTATGTATTCAGGAAACTAAATGAGTTTAAAAAAAACTAAAGTGATTGATAATTTAAAATTGAAACTATGGAATTCAAATATAAGACATGCTAGAAAAGGCGTATGTATGATTATAGATAAGAGTTTGAAGGACAATGCTCTAAAAATTAATAAAATTGGAGATAAAATTATAGTTTTAAAGATTGTTATTGATACTAAGATTATTAATATTACAATACTTATGCTCCTCAAATAGGTTTGAATAAATATTCAAAATTAAAATTTTGAAATGACTTAGAAGAATAAATTCAAATGATATCTTTTAAAAAAAGAGTTTTTATAAGAGGAGATTTAAATGAGCATATTAGTAGAATGATAGAAGATTTTGAAAGCATTCATAGTGACTATTAGTTTTAAGCAACTAATGAAGGTGGTAAAACTATATTAAACTTTGCTTTAGCATATAATTTTTTAATTGTTAATTTCTTATTTAATAAAAGAGAGGAGCATCTCATCAATTATAAGAATGGATATAATAAAATTCAAATTTGATTATTTTTTATAAGAAAAATAAATCATTTAGATGGCAAAGATTGTAAAACCATTACAAATAAAAGTTTATGTACCCAATATCACTTATTAGTTTTGCACTTTAAGATAAAAGACGTGAAATATAAAAAATAAAATATAATATTATCATAGGATTAGAGGAGGCCATTAAAAGAATGTCAATAAAAATATTTGTGAAAGTAAAATTCAAAATCTCAAAATTTTGATTGTTAATGAAAAGCTAATGTTATGTGGGAAAAAAATTGCTATTGATATTAATAATGTTATGAAGTATGTACTTGGAGTGTTAAAACAAAAAAATTCTAATAATAAAATTAGTTGGTGGTTGAATCAAAATGTGCAAGAAAAATTAGGAAAAAAAGTTTTGTTCTAAAAATTGATTTAGATGTAAAAGCTTAGAAAATTGATAAAGTTATAAAGGGGCCCGTAGGGTGTCTAAAAAAATAATATATGCTGCACCTTTTAGTAATTTATATAATATATTAGATACTAATAAGAACGAAAGATATAAGTATGCGTTAGTCAAGCAAAGAGATAGAAGTAATAAAAATCTAGTTCAAGTGAAGTGTATTAAAAATGAAAATCAAAAAATATTTTTTTAGAAAAGGATATTCAATATAAGGGGATGAGATATTTAAATATTTTTTTCAATAAATATTGTCAAAATACGAGTGACTTTAATAACTTTAGCATCCTAAACGAAAATATATATTTTTATTTTTAATATCGTATTAATAAAATTAAAGTTAGAAAGGCTTTAAAGAAAATGAAGTGTGCAAAAGCAATGATAGAGGCGTGAAAATGCTTTTCTTGGCTTAAAAGTTTTTAATATTATTTTGAAGACAAAAATTTCAGATGAGTGGAAGAGTGTGTTGGTTACTATTTTTAAGAATAAAAATGATGCACAAGAGTGTGCAAATTATAGAAAAATTAAGTTAGCATGTCATACATTAAAACTATAGGAGAGAGTAATTAAGTGTAGATTACGACATGATATTAATGTTTTTCAAAAACAGTTTGGATTCATGTCAGGTAAGTCCATTATGGAAGCTATACATTTTTTGAGAGGTTTGATGGAGAAGCATATAGCGAGTAAGGAGAATCTAAATAAGATATTGATTTTAAAAAACATATAATGCAGTTCCAAGAGAAGTGTGTTAGAGAGAGTCGTCTTAGATGGTTTGGTCACATAAAAGACAATCTTCGGATGAGTCGGTCAGGAAATTAGATGTATTAGATTTGGCTTAAGTTAAGAAAGGTAGAGGTGGACCTAAAAAGACTTAGTTAGAAAATATTAGAAATGACTTCTTCATTAGATTTAAATGAGAATTTAACTCTTAATAGGACACCATGAAGAAAAAGGATTCAGGTAGTCGACCCCATATAAACGGATAAAGACTTGATGTTGTTGTTGCTGCATATTAATATTATTAAATATAATAAAGATAAGAACAATCTTACATGATTGTCTGGTAACGAACATAAAAATTTTAAAAAATGACTTTTTTGGACCACCTTGCATGAATACCAGTAAATATGGGGTAGGAATATTAGATTTTTTTTTTCAATTCCTAATTCATTTGGTAAATAAGTTTTAATAAGTCAAATTCTCCGAAGTATTAACACTCAGAATGCTCTTATATGAATCATAAGGTTGTTGAGAATCATGATCATCAATATCAACTTATTTGACCCGATCGTATTATTGACCAATAATTCCAATAGAAAATCTAAAACTAGTTCAAAGTTCTTATTGTCAACCTGATCTAATATAGGAGTGGCCACCTAAGTGGCAGAAGGTTAGATATAATCATTTGATTTAACTCTTGCACCTGATAGTTAAATTTCCTTGAATCTAGATAAGCCTTGAAGCATTCAAAGAAATTATGCCGAATAATTTTGCAGGATCAACAATATGATAAGATTCTTTTAAATTTAACCCTTTGCAAATATTAGCAAGCCGATGAGCCATTCCAAACCTCCTTTTCAAACTAAGAAGTAACATCTAACTAAACCAAAACACTAATCATAAAAAACCGAGAAAGACAAGTAGTAGCATTATCCACTTGCAAATGTTTGTCAAAAATTGAATCCAAAGAATATAAAATGGATTAGTTGAAATAATATAAATGAAGCTAAGAAATTCAATCTAAACTGACGCGATAGATGGTTCCATGGAAGACTAAAAATGGGGATATCATTTTATCATATGAATCAAGTAGCCAGCAATATAGTAGGACATCCGAGAGAGAAAATATGGTGTAGTCTACCTGTAAGGATAGTACTAAAATGACATGACAAGGAGAACCCAACAAAATGGTCACCAACCAAGTATAAATCAGCATAAATTTGCAAACAACCGTCAGGTTTGGACAAACAAATGAGAATTTAGCAACAATAGAAGAACAGAGAGGCCTAAGAAGCTCAAAGATTTCCTCACTGGAGTTGAGAGTAGGTTTTACTTGATATATGGATAAATGCTCAGGATGCGGTATTACTAAATCATGATGAAAAAATGAAGAGAAATGATTGGCTAAAGACTAATGCAATCTTAAATCATTCAACCCATAAACAAATATTTGCATAGAAACAAGAAGGGTGAGTAAGAGGAATAGTTTTTGAAGGTGCGGAAGTAGGAAGAGCCTTGCGAAACAATGGATACTAGGATAGATGGCTGCAATGGGGATCAAATTGAGGGTTCAGCCAAAAACTTGAGGGTAGTGAAAGCGGGAGAAGGAGAATGGGCAGGTATCAAAGAGAAAGAATGCTGACCTATGCGGCCTAACAGGGACACAAAATTGGCATAGATTTTCAATGAGGAAATGAGAAAGTTGCGAGAAAAGAAGAAATTTGGTTTGCAATCCATAAAGATGAGAGTGGCCAACTTATTTTGTACAAATTTGATTGATGAATGAAATTGAAACTTCTCCATTGATCCAAATTGTGTATGCGGAGTTTTTTCTACCTCTCTACCAATTTTGTTCAAGGAGTTTTCTCTTCCTCATATTCACTTTTTCTCTTCTAATCCTTCGTTGTTCTGTGATTAAACACCATCATTTCGGTACTATCATCCTTCACCAACCCTCTATATTAAATAAGAATGAATAATTAGATACACAAGAATATGAAATGATGAAAATTGACAAACGACAAGCAGTGAAATTAGCACTTCAATAAACCATGTATGTTTTACTAGATGGATCATCCGTCCACAACAATCAGTTAATCACCATTTCATCAATGATTTGAAAATACTTACAGTAAAAGAAATATTGAAACGCTTCAACCGAAGCAACATTAGTATCAGAAACCTTAAGACATGAAAATCAAACGGACTTCTTTTCGTGCCTTGAAGTATGCCAACAAAACATAAAGTCAAATAAGATGCAGAATCCATGGAAGGAAACCAAAATAGTTTTGGAAATCAATATGGACGGCACGCTGAGTCCAACTAATTAATATTAGAGAAATAAGGAGTTTAACTACGTTGGAAGCTTTCATGGGCAGAAGTGAACTACGAAAGAGGATAATACCATGCAGATGGGACTCCACACTTCCATTGCGGACAAGCTCATAAACCAAACCACGATTATGCTCTTCAATGCACACACCGATCAGCTTGACTAGATTACGGTGGTGCAGCCGACTAAGCAATTGCACTTCTACAATAAACTCATGGTCACCATTTTGCTCATTCCCGCGGAGCAGTTTCACAGCAACCTCATTTTGATCCTCCAAAATTCCATGGTAAACACAACCAAAGCCACCTTCACCCAATATTTTCCCAGAACAGAAACCATCGGTAGCCTTCTCAAGTTCAGCAAAAGAAAATGTCTTCACTGAAGGCAGATAAGTGGCCAGGGTGGAAATGGACCGAAACGTTGAACTCACTGCACTGCTTGGAATCATAGACGGAGCTCCTGTATCATAACATAGACATTGCAACCTATTAAAGCTCGCTAACTTAATGAAACCAAGAAAAACCTTAGAAGACATGCTCAATGTTTAAAAGGTCTGCAATTTCAAAATGTTGTTATCATATCGTGAGCACCGTGAAGCTGTCAATAAAAAGTGAAAGTTAAGATGATCAAAAACGTACAAGTGATAACCAAAAAGTTAAATACAAGGAAATAAACATATGGTGATTGTTTAATTTATGAAAGTCATGAGTGTGACAGATGCATAAGGACAGCAGATAAAAGGCCAATTCGGGTAATGAGCACAACTGTTCTGAAAGTGCTAGAAACACGGGGAAGGCAGAAAGTAACATAGGTAGCTGCTCAAAATGAAAACACATACACAAGCAGAGGCAGAACCAGCCTGTCATTTAAGGGTGGACAATTTTAGGATGACAATAAAATAATATTTAAAAAATAAAATGAAAAATATATAATTTAAAGCAAAATTTTGCATTTCATTGTAATTGATAAATTATGTAATGCTTATAAACTTATCAACCTTTTTTTTCTTTTTTTGATAATATAAAATCAAGTAAATCATAAGAGTTATTGATGTCAAATTCTTAAAGCATGGTTTGTTGAATCCTCAGGATAGGATGTGCTATAGATCCTTAAGGCTTAGAAAGGGGTATGGTTGGGGACATTTATTTAATGTTGACTAAATTTTGTTTTATGTTTTCATTTTTTTTATCATATTAAACATGAAAAGACTCCTCTTACAAATTCTAAAAGATCCTAAAAAAATTAGAATCATGATATTGTGATGATAGCTATTCTAAATTCTCAAAATAAATTAACTAATGACATAGGCAAATAGTTAAATGACAAAAAAAAATTAAGATAAATAATCTCCATAAAAATCAGATCATCAAGCTGAAGGATCTAAACGTAGGAGATGTACTAAATTGATAAGCAGAAATAAAATTATATATTTTGATGGCCTACACATTGTTTTAATGTTTTTATGTTGAAATCTTTATCTACATGCTATATGATATAATTTTGTCCATTTGGATATTGTACAAATTATTATTTTACTTTAATCTGAAATTTTGGGCTCCGAAAAATTGTGCCCTGACCTCTCCATGCCTTCTTTTGTTGACGGGAGAGTTTTAATAGATTTAAATTTCAGGATAAATTTTTAAAAGGCATATTGAAATTTTCGATGAGACACTACCCAGAGATTTCACCCTTATTTTGCAAGGACTTTATGATATGAGTTTTGGTTTCTCATAGACGCAAACCCCTATGGTTAATTACCCCTCCCAATAACGAGAAAGAACTTTTGAATAAGACTAGTCCCTATGGTTAATTACCCCTCAACAAGCTAAAGGTCAAGCTGCCTTGTTTATTCAACCAACTCCAAAAGCCAAGTCAGCATACAAATCCAAAGTTCAATAAGTCTGAAAGATCAAACTTATATATCAAGACTTATTTAACATGACTGAAAACCAAATCAAAGCCCTTGGCTCATAAATCTAAGCATTAAGCTGAGCGAAAATGAATGAAGCTCTAAAGGAATGCTATTTAAACTTAACCAGAGGGTACCAAGAATGCACCATTATTTTTTATAAGACACTTTCAATTCCAAGCTCACCCATGGAAAGCACACAACTATGCAAATAAAATTGACTAAGCTTGAGCATATTTTACCTGATGTCTTGGTCATTGACGGGCCAACCACAGATTGAGAAGTAGCAAGTGGTTGTCCAAGTTTCTTCAACTTAAGGATTATTAAAATCACTCCAATGCAAAGTGACATGAGTAACAACGTAGATAGTGCAACGAGAACAATTACTCTAATATCAATCTTCTGCTGCCTGACAGTAGGTACATTTGCTGTTAGTGGAAGTTGTTGACTTCCAGCCGGAATCATGACAGAGGATCCCCGATGTATGGATGGTGGAGCGGAAGGAAGCCCTGAAGCAATGCTCTTATAACTAAAAAAAAAAACTTGGGGATGAACTTGGCTATGAACAGAAAAATAAATTCAGATATATGACATTACCAGGGTAATGAACGAATAATGCTTCGTAATCACCAAAAATGGATGCATTTATTCGAACCTTCTTCTGCCAAAACCAATCATAAATAAGTAAAGCAGTCATTTTGTCAAACTTTTCACCCAATGGTACCAAATAAATTGTGACCGTTGTCTTGTCTTGACCATGGACGCTAGCATCAGCACCCATGATTCTCACTTGACTTTGTTTCAGGTGTGTACCAGCTGCAACCTCAATTTCAAGCTCTGCTATCTGAGGAAATAATAGAACTGGGGCTAGTCCTACGTCAATAACAACTGTTATAGGGAATACACAACCACAAGGTGAACCAATTGGAGTCCGAGTGAGAGGATCAGAGCAGGAGATTCCCTCACAGTTTTCTGCATAAACAAAAAGACATTCAATCAACCAAGACAGGCACTATAAAATGGCTTGCAAAACATTGATAAAATGACTTGTAACCTAACTCGCCAATGCACACAAAAATTCACAAGTTTCAGGATATAGAGAAGATAGGCTATGCATGCATTAAGAGTTATAGAATTCCACCTTGCATAGGAGGAAAGGTTGGTGGAATTGCATGATGAATCCTTTTATGGACGGGACTTGCAGCAGGGCCTGAAAGAGTAAAGTAAGCAAGCGACATATCTAAATTGAAAATAAAGCAGTTTCTAAATTTATGACAATTACCACTGTATCTTGGTGGAAATGCTGGAGAAAGAATTGGCACCCACGGTGACATGGCTGGAATTCCAGTAGCACTGGATGGAACCATTGCTGGGTTACTTCGCCTTGATTTTTCTGTAGCCAGTATTGATGTGGATTGCATCAAGGTCTGGCCTTATAAGTTTATGCAATGTAAAAAAAAGATGCCTGATTCCTGAATGAACATTTCTTAGGGATCTTTGGATTTGTATGCAATTCGAAACCAAATCCAATCACATGTAAAGGAAAGATGCCCCATTTCAAACAATGGGATAATGTTCTAACTCATGTCACCTACCATCGGATCAACAAAACATACAAGCAAACAGAAAGAAGGCGTTTTTTTCTAACTCAAAATGAAGTTTTTGCACGCCTTAACGACATGATATTCATGTAAACATTTCAAATCTATATAAATTTAAGACCCCTAATAAACAATCGCACAAATTTTTAAATCCAGATAAGTTCAAGTCTTGCTTGTGCTTGGCAATGCAACCTTAAACTCAAATACAACACCTCGAAAATTATTCAAACGCCTTCAAAAGTATACAAATGTATCAAACAAGTGCATTGAAAAATGTGCAAGCCTGCAAAAATCAAATTAATATGCATGTGCTCCAACAACTGTGCTAAATGTTTGAACTTAAAGTCTAAGAATGTTGAACGGATTGAAAATAAAATGAATTCAAATTTTTCCTGCCTCAAGAGCATGCAGTTGTTTAAATAACATATAACAGCTCAAAAAGATGAGATTATTTTCAAAAAGAATGCAAACCCCCTTTTAAAATCAAATTCATCAATATTTTGTACAACACTCTCGAGCAAGTCACCTTGCCTATAAGAAATATATTAAATTCTACTCTTGAGCAAGCCACCATCCCATATTAAATTCTACTCTTGAGCAAGCCACCTTGCCTATAACATACAATACTCTTGAGCAAGCCATCATCCCATATTTCATGTCCGAGCCTTCACGTCACAATGACCGGAGTCGATAAGTCATAAATCCCATGAGGTATGTTCGAGGAATAAATTTCAAATATAACACAGAATTATATTACATTCTACTCTCATCATGAATAGGTAAATTCATGAATGAGCATACCATTGCAAAACTTACAAAGATGTTTTATTTCACATTTGCGTTAGAAATACAAAGCCTCTTACGAATAACATTCATTTCAAAAAGTAAACTCTCGAAGTCACCCTACTTATATGGTAGCTCTTGCAAAGTTAATATTCAAATACAATTCTCTATAAGCAAGAAGATAGAGTTGACATCAATCAAAGCAATCAAGTTCAAGCAAGGCACCCCTATGGTGGGCATGACTATCGCACATTATAACCAAACAGTTCTATTTTTAAAATTCAAACTCTCAAATTATAAATATAATTTTTGAAAACATCTCACCCGAATGATGGTCATGTTAACAATTAATCTCAACCAAAGGGAAACTTTATTTTCAAAATGCCTCAAAATTTTAATGCAGATCTTTTCGGGGCCATGTCAAGATAAAAATACATAATTAAAAAATGATAAAAAATATTCAAAATAAAATTATCGCTTAAATCCAGGAGGAATAATCCATCTATCCTCCGCAATAGTTTGTTGAATGTAAATTTTAATATCTCATCAAAAACTAATGACATATCAGGTGTATTTATATAGTCATTCTCAAAAGTTCTCATGCTAGGGGAGTAAGACAGCTAAGCCGAATCGAGAGCCGGCTTGAACTCAACTAGTTTACGAGCTCACAAGTCAAGCTCATCGAGCCATGGGTTTGAGCTCAAGCTCAAATTCAAGCTCATATAGCATACGAGCTCGATCTTGACTTGACTTAGCTTGTTAGCTCGATCTTGACTTGACTTAGCTTGTTAGCTCATCTAGAGGCTTGATTAATAATAATGAATTAGGCCCATTCAATTGATAATAATAGTCTACTCAATTCTTGTCTGACTTAATTGTCACTTTTGTCTTGCAATTTTTCATATCACATTCCAAAAGAAAGGCAAGCAAGACCATATGTTATACATTAAGAAAAGAAAAACCTGCGAACAGCTTTTAATGTATAGTTGTAAAGGCTTGAAAAAGGTATTTATTGATATAAGTTTTTATACAATAGGCTCTATTTATAGCAACAAAATACCTATGAGAATAAAATATCATAACTTTCAAGGGTAATGATCAGAGATATTGTTTTTAGCTAACAATAGCGATGAAGTTGGTAGAGATAGTGACTATAATATTATCTAGAGAATCAAGTGAACAGCTATGATTTGCACCATCATTCCAACAGATGTTTGTGCTACTATGATTTCAAATTCTTATCATCTTCCTAAACTAAGTATTATTCACATGCAAAAAACCTAACTTCAGCATCCTCCTACGAGGCTACGAGCTACCATCGCTACATCCTCCAGCGAGTTCCTGCGCGAGCTCCAATCTAGTGAGCTATCGTCACATAATCCTCTAGTGGACTATTGTCACTATGTACTCCAATGACCACCCGTTGTCGGTTCTAGCTCGCCCTCATGAGTCGAGCTTGAGCTCGTTATATTCTGGAAAGCTGGGCTCGAGCTCAAGTTCGAGCATCATTGAACACACTAGTCAAGCTCAAGTTAATTGTGACTCAAACTTGACTTTACTCATTTATACCCCTTTCTCATAACAATAAAAATGTGACACATGTCCTCGAATCAAGTGATTTTATCCCAAATGACACCATTAGATAACAATTATAATCATGGTCCTCTGTCAAATGATTTTTTCGCAAAATGACACAAATAAATTACTATCATGACCAAAGCTCATAAGTTTTCCAATAGCTTAAATCTTGAGTGGCGAAATATAAAACCCCTTTGTTAGCTAAATTTAGCTTAGCTTATCCTTTTAGACAAATAATCATCCTAAGTCAATAAAATTCCCTAGGACATAGCAAAGGTTGGAGTAGCTCCAGTGGAAAATAAGATTAGAGAGAGTCGCCCTCGATGGTTTGGTCATATAATAAGGTGGCCTTAAGATGACCTGGTTATAAAAGTATATATATTAGATTTGACTTATGTTAAGAAAGGTAGAGGTAGACATAAAAAGACTTGGTTAGAGAATATTAGAATGACCTTTCTTTATTAGATTTAAATGAGAATTTAACTTCTAACAGGGCACAATGGAGAAAAAGGATTCTTGTGGTCGACCCCACATAGTGGGATAAAGGTTTGATGTTGTTGTTGTTGTTTTATAACAATCCATAATTGTCAAAAATGAACATTCGACTACCTCTATTAAATAAGCAAACCAGAGTCCATGACAACCTAAGATCATAAAACCAAGGGATCTTGATCGAAATTATCATCATTCAGCCCACCATCTGCTTTAACCTAAAGGGTATATGATTTCTCAATCCTTGATCAAGTTGTGTTACTATTCGCTAAATACTTAGCACCTAACAACTAATCTCGAAAAAAAAAATCTCATCAATAGGAGGGATGATTAACCACAGGGGCATGTGCCATATCTTAAAATCCTCGCAAAATGAGTATGAAATCTTTAGGTTTTGTCTTATCTAAGATCGAATTAATTTTGTAAGAAAATCTAACCCATAACAAAACTCTAATGCATTAGAGTTCTCATTAGAGTTGGAGCATATTTTTGGAGACCAAGAATTTCTTGCAACTTCCTAAGGGAAGGTTTTTCTCTCCACCATTGTTACAATAACAGTTCAAAAATAAAAACTGTTGAAAACTTAATATTCTTATTTTCTCTTGTTGCCAACTTAAAACTTGCAAAACTCTTTAAGTGATGAGAATTTTTCAAATGATGCTTCTTAATGAACCTTAAAAAAAATGTTAACTTGTAAGGACATGGAGTTAATAGGCCAAATTTTAAGAAGCAGCCGCCGATTAACTGAAACTCGCAGTAGGAGAATGATGTTATGAAATTTTAAAAAAGAGCAAATGAACTAAAAGCTTTGGCGCATTCTTTGAATGCGCCGAACCATTGGGCGAATTCTTCTTAATGCACGCAAGCGCAATGGTGTGGCGCATTCTATCCTAATTAGCTGGCGCGCACAGTTTTCCAGAGAAATTTGTCGGACGCAAGGATCAGATCCGGAAAATGCGGGTGCATAGGTGGCTGGCGTGCGAAAATAATTACGTTGGGGGCTTGATTTAGACGACAGGAGCAATAGTTTGGGCTTATAAATACCCCCTAACATTCAAGAACAGCTTCACCGAATTTTTTTAAGACAGAGGTGGCATCTCGGTTGAAGAAGGTTAGTCTGTTTTTTTTTTTTTTTCAAAGCTTTAAATGTTTTTATTTCATATGAAATATGTGTATGTTGATGTAAGATATTAGTTGAAATTTTTATTTATATAAAATTTAAAGTGAATAATTTAAATTCATGCCTCTTAATGTAAATTATTGTATATGATTATTTTTGCTAGTTTACTTTTCTATAACAACATTAATAATTTAAAATTTTAATGGACAGGCATTCTCTTTAGTTGGGGCAACTCATCTACGCATGGCTCGGGAATGGATAATAGAATGTCCCTGTATATATACCTCTTGACCAACCTTGAATTGCATAACCTCAGACATTTACAGTCCATCGACAAACACCTTTCATTTGACGATTTGTGAAATGACCATAACGTTGCGGGATGTGCAGTACATTTGCATGCACATTATTGTTACATATGCTTCAGTGGATATTGTTACAATTATCTAAACAATTTTATGAAATACCAATAATTATAGAATATTAAATATATTTTAATAATTCATATTTTTTTGTTTTTAATAAATAATTAATAGTAATTTATCTTATAAATATTTTTTCTAATTTAAATTATATTATACTAGTTATTTTTTTAATATCACTGCATATAATTTCTAAAATATTACATGAATAAATTTTTATATTTAATTAATTAATAAATATTAAATCTACCTCTGAAGAATAGGGCCTCAAGAATATTATAACTATTTCATAAAATACTAAACAAATATTAAACAAATTTTAAATAATCATTATTTAAATATTTAAAGACTAATTAATATTGAATTATCAAAAAATACTATGAAATTAAAAAATGTT